AAGAAGGAAACTTCTCTTTTGGGAATATATGCCTCAGACATATTCCAAAAAAGTTAGGACAGGAGCATGTTTACTACTGTGTTACACCAAACCTTTCTTTTAAAAGCACTTAAAAAGAACATTTGGCAGCTGTCGACACCAACTGATCCAGTTTTGACACTGGAATTTTTGCTATTCTTCCATTGTAGTCCACAGCTGCACAGCTGTACGAGGCCTCCGTTGTCTTATTTTGCACTTCATAATGTGCCGCACATATTCAGCAGGAGACAGGTCTGGACTGTAGGCAGGTTAGTCTAGCACTTACACCCCCTAATTATGCAGCCATGCTGTTGCCAGGTTGAAATATGAGTGGACATCCCAGAAAAGGAGGTTGTCTAGATGACTGCATTTGTTACTCCAAAATGTTTATCTTAAATCTTTTACCGTTAATGGTGCCTTCACAGATGCACATGACATGGGCATTAAAACACCCCATTTCATGACAGACACTGGCTTTGAAACTGGCTTTATGCTGGTAACAATCTAACTGGTCTTTTTTGGCCCAGATTACACAACATCCAATATTTCCATAAACAATCTGAAAGGTTGACTAATTAGAACAAAATACACATTTCCACTGGGTACCAGCCCATTTCAGATGAGCTCGAGCTCAGAGAAGTCAGCAGTGTATCTGGACATTAACATATGGGCTAACGCTTTGCACAGTACAGCATTAACTTGCATTTGTGGGTGCAGGCATCAATTTCACAATGAGCATATATTTACAAAAAACAATAATGTTGGTAAGTTAAAACAATAATTAATATCTTGTCTTTGTAATGTTTTCATTTAAATAGAATTTAAATTAAGTTTATGTATCACTGCTTTCTGTTTTTATTTGCATTTAATACACTGTCCAAACTTTTTTTGGAATTGAGGTTTGTACATCTACTGAAAACAATATTACCAAAAACTTACTTGAACTGGCTAAAGGTGAAGCAACAGTTGCTCTAGGCATTTGAAGTAAACTAAAAAGGAGAGAATTGATTTCAAGGTGATACATTCTCCACTAGATTAACAGAATCATCACTGAAACTGAAACAATTTAAGCTGTTCATGTGCATTTGGTCAATCATCATAAAAGTTATACAATCAATATATATATTTGATTCCACAGAAAAATTGTCCAGTGACCTCTGTCAAGATGTCTTGTAGCAAAACTACTACAGGGAGTATCTTCAAAAATAAATGTATAAGACTGACAAACAAATTTCTTTACAAGGTAACTTCAACAGTTATATAAAGTGAAACTGCTCCTAACATCTTGAAGGCAGATGTTGGCAGAGTTTCACTAAAGGCATCAGCGGATGCCTTGGCCCAATTAATCTATGGACAAGAGGGTTAAAAGGGTTAAATAAATGATACTCCCCAGCTCTGATGTAGATGAGAGAGATGGCAAAGTTGCTGCAGAGTGAGCTCCATAAAACTTTCATGAGAAACAAGGGTACAAGCGCTGTGATATTTTTACTGCGCTTTGGAACAGGGACAGTCAGTGCAGTGAAAGCCAGCACTAGATCATAAAAAAAAAATCCAAGCAAAGTGTGGGGGTTTAGACGGGAACCTGTGCAGGTCATGGGGGATGCAATGTGGAATGTTTCGGAGGATTCCTGAGCCGGGCCGTGTGAGTGTACGTATTTGAATGTATGTAAGTAATGCTGTCAGAGCGGTCGGTGCGTCCGAGGGCGCCACATTTTCTTGGCTCTCCCACGTCTCCTCAGCAGGTTACCAGACTCGACCCGCAGGCTTGTCAGCCAATCAGCTGCCTACCCAGCATTCCTCAGGCTTAAAGCTTAAAGAAAACAACCGAAAAAGAATCCTTGGCATGGTACGACTGCCCTCCAGCTCCCCTGTACTCTCCCACACATCTTACAGCAGTGATCAAACGATTCTCGGTCAAAGACACGAAACAGTGAAGGCCCTGAAGAATCAGTCAGTGTCTGTAATATGACTCTTAATTAGGCATGTACATATGGCAGTGGAGCCCATGGCAGCATTACTTGTGGGTCCCACATGTGTGTAGGCCTGAGACACTTACTGCTGTAACAGAATGCAGTGGATGGTGATCACACGCACACACACACACACACACACACACACACACACACTTTCTACGGCCCTTATCCTTCTGGGTCGCTTGGGGTGTGCTAGAGCCTATCCCAGCAGTCACTGGGCAGAAGGTAGGAAACGTCCTGGACAGGTTGCCAGTCCAGTGGATGGTGAACATGTCTTATTATTTATATAGCTCAAACGTAGTCAGGGCCCTTACCGCTGCTGTCCAATAGAAAAACTTTTATCTCCAAAATAGTAACTTTACAGGAGAAGGCAAAATCTTCCAAAGCTTTTAATGTAAGTTGATGTAAAAATGTTTCAGTCCAAGTACTTAAAAATCAACAAAAATGGAGATATATGTTTTTTGTTTTGCTTTTTGAGTTTATTGGACAGCAACAATGTGTACAAAGCATGCCAGTTTTCATATTCATTAGGATAAAAGGCAGAAACTGATGCTGGGTCAGCACTCGAATTTCCTTGTAAGTGATAATTGAGCTGCTTGGTTTCTGTGCCAGTGAGCTCATCTCGTTACAATGCGGCGGAATTTTTGCAATGCAGTCTGACAGGTAGATTAAAGTTCAGTGGTCACATTGCAGAATGGCCCAAACCAGCGGAGGGACTGAAGATGTCACAGAGAAGTTAGTGTGAATAACAGTCTGTTAGTGAGAAACTTGGCAACCTCTGAAACCTGATCGGATCTTTCCGCATTCTTAGGCCGATCGTGACTGAAATACAATTCAGTTACATAAATGCTGAGCAAAGCTCTCAGGGTGAGTGCTGATCTAGGATCAGTTTTTATTTTTTGTGTTCTCTTGAATCTAATTTCATGAAATCATGGAGCTTTTCTGAACCTCTCTGATGGAGATTCTGGAGACCTTCTGAAACCTGAGACTCTGGACCAGCTAAAAGGTCACATTCCCACATCCCGGTGTTTCAGAATACCTTGTAAACTGTTAGAATCCTTTATACTGTAATATTAACCCATCAGCAAAACATTAAATATCATTAGTGACTACTGGACACCACCAGGAACCAACAGAAACTTCAATGGTTTCTACATTTGTTCAGCAGAGTTCCTTGTTCTCCACTTCCAACATTGGCACCCAGCATAGTCTTTGACTGTTGTAGCTCATTTGAGACTACAAATAAATGAAATACATATTGTTGTGCTTTTGGCCGCTATTCTTAGTCTTTTTGCTGGATCACCCAGTGGGCCAGCCTATAACTGAGTCACTGACTGACTGATCCCCTGTACCTGATACCCATGATTGAAACACTCATGTGCAATCACAGCCTGATATAAACAGTAGGTGGCGGTATACACCTAATTAAACAAAGCCATGTCTACATCCCCAACACAGGGCTGACATTAATAATAAAAGTAAAGAGAAAACACATCCAATGAAACACGTTACAGATATAAAAGCTCTTTCTAACAACCAGTACAGTAACACAGTGCAGAGTACTGTGTGTCTGACTGCAAGTTTGAGCTCAGGCTGTGCTGGAAATTCTCACTTTGCAGTATAATTAGTATTATTCACCAATTTTTCACTCTTTCAGGTGAGGATAAAATCATTGAGCACTAGAATCTCACCAGTAAGTGCACCAGAATGTAAACTAGAACAATAATTTTGATATCAATTGAAACATTTAGAAATATGTTTTAAAGAGTTCACCGATTTAATCTTTAGCTAGCTCGAATGCTATAATGCTAGCATTACAAGCAAGACAAAAAATTCTAATTTCTTTGACTTCACTCATGATTCTAGATTTGTTTAAGTGTGTGCATGAGTAGTAATCATCTTAGAGTTTGATGAAGTCTGTTATTATGCTGATAACAGTCCTAAAATTTACTACTGTGCACATTTACAGCTAAATACAAATATGTTTCATGGATTCATTCATAAAATAGCAGTAGAAATAATATATAATATATAGCAGGAAAAATATGTATAAGGAAATTATTAAAGAAATCCACAAAAAGTCATTTAAGTGATTTACTTGATGTATTTACTAAACATTCTACCTCTAACTAATTTCTTATTATTATTATTATTATTATTATTATTATTATTATTACTAAGACGTTATTAAATTAATGTTATCATTACTAGTAATAGTAAAAGCATTAAGAGATATACTATAATATAAAAATTCTGCCAAAATCGGAGCAGCAACAAATGTTTATCCTTAAACTTGAGTCAATATAAACATGAGTGAATCAGAAAAAGTATCTCCATCACTCTGTGTGTGTGTGTGTGTGTGTGTGTATGTTTGTGGGCGGGGGGGGTGCAGGGGAGCATGTGGGTGTGTGGGTATGTGTATCTACGTTTTTTTAAATGAATAATTTTGACAACAGAGTTGATGACTTCTAGTGAAAGTGTGCCATCTGCTGGACATAACGTTCAATAACACAGCAAACATTCTAAATGATACATTCTAAAACTATCAACCACATCTAAATGGTTTCACTGTAATATTTGTGTATCCTGCTTTAGAGGAAAGTGAATGAACTACACCAGATCAACTGCACTGCGAGCAGTTAAGCAAAGTTGGCAGAGGGAGAAAATTATCATTACTGATTTACATTTAACTGCTTTAAAGAGAATTTTTGATTACTGAGTAACATCCTGCCTCTGCTGCTCATATAATCATATAACAGGATCTAAACTAAAGAATTTGCAGAATGGTCAAACTACCACAAGTTCTGTGAAATGTAGTTTAAACAGTGTAAGTGATGAATCAGTGGAGTATATCACAGGGTGAAAAAGTCACTTTACATTCATTTATTATTGCTGGTACATTACAGTGCAGCTGTGCAGACATGACTGGAGCATTTTATAAATGTTATCTGTTGGCTTTGACTGTGAGATGGCAGGACCTTGATACTAAGGCTTCTGTAAACATTAACTGGTGGAGATGAGAGGGCGTGCACACGCATACTCACAAACATTACTCACAATATTCACACAAACATTTCTTATACAGAGAGTTAGCTCACAGACTCGAGCTGGGAGAGAAGATGGCCTCCGGGATCTGTAACAGTGTTCTGGTGACCGGCTCTAACCGTGGCATTGGACTGGAGCTGGTGCGTCAGTTGGCCGAGTCACCCTCACCCCCAACACTGATCTTCGCCGGGTGCAGAGACCCAGCAGGGCCCAAAGCACAGGTGAGAGAGAGACAGAGAGCAAGAGAGAAAGAAACTGTATAAAAATGACAGGGTTACTTGTTCATTCAGCTGTGATATAGAAAGAAAAACAACAGTTTGGTTATTATCATTGATGCCAATGAGAAAGAAAGAAAACCATTTTGTGTAATGCAGTACCTGCATTAACCCTTATGTAGAAAGACATGGGTGGAAGTGTTAAAGGCTTTTTGAATGCCCATTAACTACTGTCTGTCTCCTCTGCAGGAGCTCAGAGGGCTAGCTCAGAAGCACAAGGATGTGATTGCCATCATTCAGCTTGGTAAGGAACTGGAATATCTTTTTGAGCATGCCCTTCCATATTAACATGAATTTGATACCAACTAATCACTGATGTAGATACTAATAGTGGGAAACCTGTACAGTGCTTTTCAAAAATCCACATGGCAGCATGACTCCATCCATGTAACAGTGTGATAGTGCAGATAATCATGGTGTGTTGCTGTGCTATAACAGTGGTTCCTAACCCTGGTCTTGGAGAACCCACTGCTCTACACAATTTAAACGGGAATTCCACTGATTTGCCAAGATTTCTGCATAATTCAGTCACTGAGATTGAATGGTTAGATGACCCATTGTAGAGAAACTTAATATATCTGATTAGTTAGTGGTGGTGATAGGAAGCAGGGGTCATGAGGTCAGCCATGCAAATGTAGCCATTTTATTTACTATCAAAAATAACAAGTGAACCTACTAGGGATGCACAATGATATCTGAATCATATTGGTATTGCCAGATCTTTGCTTAAAAATATGCTGCCATTGGACTGATATTTGATGATGCATTAATTGTACTCTGAAAGAGTAGAACGTTTAGGGCTACTGTGCTAAAAATTTGCAGCATTTATAACTCTCTACAAATAAGTGTTGCATTTCTACAATTTCTATATTTTATAAATGCTTCTATACCTGCATTGGTATCAACATCCGCAGATATGTGCATAAACAATATCATATATTGGCACTAGCCAAGAATTCCCAAAGTGGTGCACCCTTCGTGTGATAATGGTAAAAAAGTAGTAAATCTGAAAAAACGGGGACCACTCTCTGCCAAGAATGGCTTTTAAAAAATATATTTTAGGCCAAAAGCTCATCTCAAAACTATGGGTAAACAGGTAATGTTTTCTTTTACAGTTCCCTAACTGTTAACCAGGTAAGAGTGAGGTAAAAACTTCAACATACTAGATAATTATTTTGGGTAACACGATGATAGCACCAAGACAACCTAACTAAATTACACCAAAATGACAAACAGGTTCTAGCTGTTAAACTGATAAAGCGCAAAGTAAAAACCTCATAAAGACTTGGAGTAATATAGTGGTAAATACCAACATACTCACTCAATATGTCACTATATTGTCACACGTTTTAGCAGGAAAGTAAATCAGAAACACCTTAAAGTACTGAGTTATATGCATAAAATGACAGCATATACTACAAAGACAGTTCTCTGAAGTAAACGGTAAAAACCCAGTTTAACCACAGTCAGTTTCATTTCTAAGTACACTTTTAAAAAAGATCCTCAAGGGTTCTTTAGTAAAAAAAATGGTTTTATATAGAATCATGGACACTTTTGCATGATTAAAGGGTAATTTGTAACATGAGAATGTGCTATAGATGATTCTATATACAACCTTTTTGAAAAGGATTCTAAATGACCCCAAAAATGGGTTCTTCTATTGTAACAAGTTTGACATAGTAACAATAGCGAACCATTTCATGATGCAATGAACCCTTTAATCATGCAAAGGGTTCTTTCAGTGTCAATGTTTCTATATAGAACCATTTTCTTTACTAAAGAACCATTGAAGCACTGTCTTTATTAAGAGTGTAAAATACAGGCACATACTGTGTAAGACTGATTGTATGCCATATAACTACCTAGTACTTAAACGGGTAAAATAAATGGGTATAAAATGATTCCACGTAGCACCAAAAAAGGTTCTTCTATTGTTACGACAACAAGGTTATAACAATAGAAGAACACCTTTTGGTGCTGTACAGAATGATTTTCAAGAAGGTTTTACATAGAACCATATACAACAAATTCTTCTTCAATCTGAAGGACTATTTCACCATGCAAAAAAACATTTAAACATGAAATGGTTCTTTGAGTGTTCATAGTTCTACATAGTACTATTGTCTTTACTAAAGAACGCTTAAAGAACCATCTTTTTAAGAGTGTAGAACTTGTTGGGCATTTCAGTGTAATCTAGTAAGACTGCAATGGAAGTTGTCATCACAATACCCAAAATAATTACCTAGTACTTTAGAGTTTGTACCGCACATTTACTTGGTCATTACCTAGACCTAAAGGGACTCTATTTCCTTTAACAGAGAGTCAGAGTAGCACCAACTCTACTTTTTGTTCCATGTGTCCACAGACACCTCTAGCCCAGCGAGCATCTCCCAGGCCGCTAAGACAGTGGGAAGCAAGCTGAAGGATGGCAGTTTGAATCTGATCATCAACAATGCTGGAGTGAATGTCCATCTAGAGCTGTCAAACACTGGAGAGAAGGAGATGGTGGATACATACCGGACCAACGTGGTGGGACCTATGCTTGTTGCAAAGGTCAGTAAGCTTTTAAAGCAGCTTTGTCAACCTCACAAAAGCCGCTGTGTGGTTTGGTGTGCCTTATCTGGGTTATGTAATAGTGTTTACAGAAACTGCTTCATGGCCTTTAGTAGTAGTCAATCCAAGATTTGCAAAGTAGTGATGACAAAGCAAAATTCTTACATGCATTTAAAATCCGATTGGTTCCTCGTGATCTTTCTCTGCTGAAACTGAATGTTGAATGGTGGTGGCAGGACTTCCTCCCATACCTGCGCAAGGCAGTGTCACAGGCCGCTGATCAGAGGGGCATGTCCTGCAGGAAAGCAGCTGTCATCAATGTTTCCACACTGCTGTCCTCCATCCAGAAGTGCCCCGAGACGTTTGCCATGGCCCCAATGTATGCTTACCGAATCAGCAAGGTGACATATAATAATTGTATACAGAATATCTCTCATTATGAGAATCAACCAAACCACAATTATAATAGCAAGGAACCCAATAGAGTTAGTATTGTAATGATGCCAGATTCCAGATATCCACAACTTATGAATCAAGGCCAGACTGACAGGAAGGCAGAGATTTCACATGCCTCCCTATCACTGCCAGCCAAGGCGGTGTGTGCATATCTTAAGCATGTTGAACTGCACTGTTGTTTTAGGCTGCCCTTGAACATGCTGACTAAATGTTTGGCTGAGGATGTAAAAAAAGATGGAATTCTTGTCATGGCAATTCATCCTGGCTGGGTCAGAACTGACATGGGGGGTCAAGAGGTAAGTAATTAGACAAGCTGAGCAGGACTCACTCCACCTGCAAATAAAAGGTTAGAGCTTTTGCATCTGCTCTATTTATTAATCACTTATATGGGTTCACAGAGAGATATAGCCATTGTCTTAGGAACACAAGGACTGATTGGGACAGGCGTGGACTTTGATTGTTAAAGGTTGTTGGAAAAGGTTCATCCTGTTATTTTACCCATAGGCCCCTGTTCTGCCAGTGGACAGCGTGAAGGGCATGTTGAAAGTGATCTCCTCCCTTACTGAGAAAGACAATGGAACTCTACTGGACTGGGAAGGCAACAGCATCCCATGGTGATACTGAAGAAGTAATACAACAAGGCATTTCCTATACTGCACTATAGATATGCTATTGCCTTGAAACATGTTTAAACTTTTAATTTTTTTTTTTTCAAAATTTTTGATTACAGCTAGGTGACATTTTGGAGTTTTCATTGTGTAAACTTTGGAGTGACTCAGCACTGTCCTTCATTCTATAAATGCTGCAAATAAAAGGCATATAAAGAGTAGAGATCAGTGTCATTTTTAAGCATTGACTTTTACATGATTAAAGGGTTCTTTTCATCATTAGAGCATTCTTCAGATTGATGGACAATGTGCTTTAGATGGTTCTATACAGAACCTTTTGGAAAATCCTTCTATATAGTACCAAAAAAGGTTCTTTTATTGCATAGTGTTGTCATTTGTTAACTACTAACACTTGGAAGTTACTCTGATTAAAGTACTGATTAAAGAAAATGAAGGATATATATATATATATATATATATATATATATATATGTGTGTGTGTGTGTGTGTGTGTATGTGTGTGTGTATATATATATATATATATATATATATATATATATATATATATATATATATATATATATATACATACTTGTGATAATATGTTGGTTGCATCTGACCTGATTTTCCCTGCTATCAAATGGTATTCAACACTGATTCAACAATCCTTCCAAAATCTGTAAACACTAGCCAGAAAGCTATTTAATTCATAGTTTTGATAGTTCTCTCAATTAAAATGTAACTCAATATAATTTATATAATAAGGGCACAGTTCAACATTCTGGTCACCGGCTCTAACCATGGCATTGGACTGGAGCTGGTGGGTCAGTTGGCCGAGTTTTCCTCACCCCTAACATTGATCTTTGCTGGGTGCAGAGACCCAGCAGTGACCGGAGCACAGGTGAGAGGAAGAGAAAGACAGAGAGAAAGAGAATTATGCTATATACAATGCAAATTTTATTGATGAATTCACAGATATGCTATCTTTTATTTCCACTGATTTTAACATATATATTAATAATCCCAATGACAGCTATTCAAAGGAACTCTGTGTCATTTTGGACTCTTTTGGACTGTCTCAGCATGCGACCGGGAGCTCACAGTGTCATGGTCTCAAAGGGTCTCAACATATCAGCCACTGTTAAGGATGTTGCTGTGTCAGATTACTGTGTTTTCTTTGAAATGTGGACCTCACTAGACATCAGTACCAGAGGCATTTCCTTTAAGAAACGGTTTATAAATGACAGCACAGAACAAAATGTGCTCTGCACCATGCAAACCATCTGATTCTGTTGATCCTCTGAGTTGAAACCTTCCTATCGGAGCAGATTTCAGCTCAGTTTAAAACACCGTTAGCTCTACTGCACTTCTCTCCTGTAACTGGACCTTTTTATCATAAGTTAATTTTTTAATTAGATTTTTAATTTAATGTTTAATCTGTTTTTTTTTTCAAATCTAGTGTTTTTATAATGTTTTAATTATGTTTTTATTTCTATTCTCCCACACCTCTTTAAATTTGATTTTAATTATCTGTGTATTTTCTAATTTGAAAGCACTTTGAATGACCGCAATGTATGTAAGGTGCTGCAACCCTGTTTTCAGATAAGTTGGGATGCTGTGCAAAATGTAAATAAAAACAGAATGCAATGATGTGCAAATCATTTAAACCCTATTTTTAATTGAAAATAGTACAAAAACAACATAAAAAATGTTGAAACTGAGAAATTGTATTTTTTTTTTTTAAATAAATGCCCATTTTGCATTTAATGCCTTTTTGTAACTGGGGTTATATGTAAATAAACCTGCCTTGCGTTTAGATGAGTGCAACCGTGGAAGAAACGGTTGACTGAAGGGCCAGTTTTTTCACCACAAAAGAAGGTCAGCAAATGAGGAATGGTGATAATTGACTTTTAAGGGAATTCCACCAATTTCTCAAAAGCTCTGCATAATTAAATATTTAAGATGTAAACAAAGTCATGTGAACTGCTCCATTCCAGACAAACTGTCTGAACTGCTCACAGTGGTGGCGATACAAACCAGATGTCTGAAGCATTAAAATTACATACTAAGCTTGTTATTTAGTAACTACACAGGCTACAATGTAAAGTGGTTTAAGTTATTCTTAGGTTATAGAAGTGTGTAATATAAATTTGGTCCCGCTGGTGGGTCTTGGCCATTTAAGGGGTTAATGCCTCTAAAAGCTCTCTCAACGAACCTTATTACATTAAATGGTTTCAAATATACTGCCTGAGAAATTGTCTTGAGATAAGATTTTGGCCTCAAACCTGTTTTTTAAGGCCATTCACCACCACTGTAAAGAAATTGTAAGTTGGTATTTTTTTACTACAATGCACCATTTTACATCAGGCCACTGTGCTTATACCGCAATGACTGAGTTATGCAGAAATTTCGAAAAAGTAGTGGTATTCCCCTTTAAAGGCTTTGGGCTCTTGGCCTTCTTTCTTTCTTCAATGATAGTAGGGATAATGACAGTAGGGCAATTTAGGGTTATTTTCCTACTTCGCAGCAGCCCTAGTCAAGTCCATTCCATCTATGTACAAGTACACAGTGGAGGGAAATTACGTTCCTCCAGGAACAAGGTGCAACAAGGAACAAAAAGTGCGAACGTGCAGACATAAGTGTGTAAACAAAAAATTAAGCCAGAAACAATACAATAAATACGAACGGGTTTAGTTCAGTCCTAGTGAATTTAAAAACCTGATTGCTTGAGGAACAAAGCTGTTGCAGAGTCTAGCAGTGATGGCACGGATGCTCCGGTACCTTCTGCCACATGGCAGCAGTGAAAAAAGTCCGTGTGAGGGATGGATGGAGTCGTCCACAATGCTGGTGGCTTTCCGGATACAACGTGTGGTGTAGATATCCATGATGGAGGGGAGAGAGACCCCGAAGATCCTCTCAGCTGTCCTCACTATATGCTGTAGGGTCTTGCGGTCAGAGGCGGACAATATGGCCTGAAGTGTCAAAACAAAAACAACCCGTTAGTGAGACTGAGTCACTTTTTGGTTACCTTCCCTTTCTGGACGAGTAGCCTTGTCCTCCATGAGGTGAGGAGTGCCAACTTGGGCTGATGATTTGGGGACAAATGTGTCAAATGGTCAGTCACTGCCCCTTCACCATGCAGTTGTAAACAGAGGTTCTATGAAGTACAGCTACAGTTCTATAAAAGTGGTCATTAAATGTAGCTATCTACATTTTCTTGCAAACTATTTAATGTTTCATTCTGAAGTATTTTAAACTCTGTGAAGAAGTAGGTCAGGGTTGCACAACTCCGGTCCAGCACAGTTTGGAGGTTTCCCTACTCAAACACACCAACTTAACCTGGCAACTCACAGATGAGTATAATCAGGTGTGTTGGAGCAGGTAAATCACCAAACTGTGCTGGACACCGGCCTTTCAGGACTGGAGTTAATGTTAGCTAGCTAGCTTTTTTCCTGAGGCGCCTTGCATTAATACTATATGGACTTCAACAATGCAAACACATGCTATGTAAGATAGCTAAATGCTAGCCTAACCCTGGTTGAGGCTGAGTTAGCTGACTAAGTCTATCACTACACACTTAAAAAGACAGTTATTCAAGGGTTCTTAAGTAAGAGAATGGTTCTATTTAGAACCATGAGCTCTGTATAGAACCATTTCATGCTTAAATGGTTCTTTGCATGGTGAAATGGTTCTTCAGATTGATGGAGAACAGGTTGTATATGGATCTATATATAACCTTTTTGAAAATGGTTCTGTATAGTACCAAAAGGCTTCTTCTATTGTTACAAGCTCGACACCATAACAACAGCAGAACCCTTTTTGGTGCCATATATAGAACCATTTTCAATGAAATGTAAAATGTAATCCGTCTTATATAATCCTCCTCATGCTTTGAAAACACCTCCCTGTGTTTACTCAACAGCTCTTTTGTTTTAGTCTCTCTGCTCTTCTGTAAATTGCTCAGGGCTTGTCCACCCTGCTGATGCACTTGCATCTGTACCATGAACTCATTAACCACAACTTCTACTGTGTTCTCACCCACTACCCTCAGCTCTGCTTCTGCCCCACAAGTTTTCACCTAGGAAACAGTTCCCAACTTAGTTCAACGAACCCCACATAGGCATGTCCATCTGTACAGGCAGCAAATCCATCTCTGACCTAGCTGAGACTTAAATTTTCTTAAACTTATTACTCCTGGGGAACAAAACAAAGCCCAATTGTCCCAAATCATCTCCAAAATTAATACAATTTACTTATACAGTTTAAAAGTTTGTTGCCACACTTGTTTTTAAAAGTGTGGGGGACACAGTTGTCAGTAATCTCCCACCCACCCTGGCACTTTCATACACCCACATGCCACCCTCAGGGGACATAAACAGAGGATCAAAGATCAAACTTATCATTGAAGGATCACTCTTAAATATGTAACATACTTTAAATAGAACAGTTTTATATCTATGTTCACTTTTATTAAAAATTTTGTGATGGAACTTTTAAAATAACTTTTTCTTTAAAGAAAATATTTATTCATACCACTTACAATCAAAGATAAAATTAGGTAGGCTATGTCAACATAAGTTTTTCATTAAATAATAAAAACAAAAACAAATAAATTTAGCAAGGCACAGACTTTTGTGTTTTGATTCATATCTGAATAATATCCGAATCAGCAGATCATTCCTTAAAATCAAATAACTGGGATGATCAGACAGTTGTTTAGATTTGACTGACATTTCAAAATGATGCTTGATGTCTGTGTCCACTCACTGTCCACTCTATTAGACACCCTTACGTTGCTGATCCACCTTGTAGGTGTAAATTGGCTAGATGCTGTTGGCTGGATATTTTTGGTTGGTGGACTATTCTCAGTCCAGCAGTGACACTGAGGTTAAAAACTCCAGCAGCACTGCTGTGTCTAATACACTCGTACCAGGGCAACACACACTAACACACCACCACCACGTCAATGTTACTGCAGTGCTGCTCTGTGGTGGTCCTGTGGGGGTTCTGACCATTGAAGAACAGGGTAAAAGTGGGATAACAAATTATGCAAAGAAACAGATGGACTACAGTCTGTAACAGTAGAACTACAAAGTGCTTCTACGTGGTAAGTGGAGCTGATAAAATGGACAACGAGTGTAGATACAAGGAGGTGTACCTAATAAAGATCTCAGTGAATGTATATTTGAATGGAATTTGTGCCATGTTTTTTCAACTTAGC